TACTGGTTTTAAATATTATGTTTGCTTTGTGGATGATTTTTCTCGTTTCACTTGGGTTTATCCCATGCGGCGCAAGTCTGAGGTTCCCACTCATTTTCATCTTTTTAAATTAACGATTGAAAATCTACTTGACCGCAAGATTAAGATTTTTCAGAGTGATGGAGGGGGTGAATTTGATAATTTCCATTTACGTATTTTTTTTACTACTCATGGCATAGTTTTTCAAAAATCTTGTCCACAACAAAATGGTGTGGCTGAACGTAAGCACTGGCATTTACTTGAACTTGCACGTACTATGCTTATTATTGCTAATTTACCAGCTATTTTTTGGGTTGATGCCGTGCTTACTGCCACTTTTATTATAAATCGTTTACCCTCTCCTACTCTACATGGTCTCTCTCCATATGAAAAATTATTTCACTCCAAACCGGATTTTTCTATGATGCGAGTTTTTGGTTGTGCATGTTTTCCTAATTTTAATGCTTCATCCACAAATAAACTTTTGCCACGATCTGTCACATGTGTTTTTCTTGGCTATGCATCTGAGTATAAAGGGTACCGTTGTTATGATCCTATCTCTGACAGGGTATATATCAGTAGGAATGTAAAATTTTTAGAAACTATTTTTCCATACTCTGATTTAACACGAACCACAGTGTCTAACTCATCTACATCTCCAGTGCCTAATTCCTCCTCCTCCCTTATTCTCACTCCTGTACGAGATTCCCAGGAGCCACTTCCACCCACACCATCTCCATTATTGATTTCATCTCCCCCTCCCAGTCAAGGTATTTCTTTGGTTCCTGTTACCTCCACTACTGCCCCATCAAACAGCTTCCCACCTACACCTCATAGCCCCACTGACCACACCCATACAGGTGACTTAACTAGCTCACCCATAGGATCTCCTCACCCCAGCCCCAATGCCGAAACTGCAGGCAGTCCTCCCCCCTCCTCTGCCGAGCCTATTCCTCCACTCACCAGCACCACATGTTTAATTTGCTCCCTTCGTCCGCCCCACTTGTTAGTGTCCATCCCATGCAAACCCGGTCCAAATCCGGGATTTTTAAACCCAAGCCCATTTTCAATTTAAATACAGTTGTTAGCACACATGACCCTACTTGTTTTTCGGAGGCAAATAAACATCTTAAGTGGAGAGCCGCTATGGCTGAGGAATTTAATGCTCTCATCTCTAATCATACATGGGATCTTGTACTGTTTGATGCTCGAAAGAATGTAGTTGGGTCAAAATGGATTTATAAGACTAAATACTTATCTGATGGTTCTGTGGATCGCTATAAAGCAAGGTTGGTGGCTCAGGGGTTCAAGCAGCAGGCAGGTATTGATTTTACTGAAACTTTTAGTCCTGTTGTCAAACCTACTACTGTTCGACTTGTTCTTTCTTTAGCAGTGTCTTTTGGTTGGTCTGTTCGTCAACTTGATGTCAAAAATGCCTTTTTGCATGGTAATCTTACTGAGGAAGTTTATATGCGTCAACCTACTGGTTTTGTTCATCCTCAGTTTCCTAATCATTTGTGTCGACTTCGTAAAGCTATTTATGGTCTCAAACAGGCCCCACGTGCCTGGTTTCACCGTTTTAGCAGTTTTCTTTTGTCTCATGGTTTTGTCTGCAACCGGTCTGATAATTCTTTATTTATTTTTCGTCGCCATACTGATGTTATATACCTGTTGCTATATGTTGATGATATTATTGTTACAGGTAATTCCACTACATTAGTTAATCATTTTTTGTCTATTTTAGCCAAGTGTTTTGCTATGAAGGATTTGGGTGATTTGCATTTTTTCTTAGGCATTCACGCCAGTCGTACCTCCTCTGGTCTTTTTCTCTCTCAGCATAAATATGTATCTGATCTTCTTCATCGCTTTCATCTTCATACCTTAAAACCTGTTCGCTCACCGCTTCCTAGTCGTACCAAACTTTCCCTCACGGATGGAGAGCTCCTTGCTGATGCCACAGAGTACAGAAGTATGATAGGTGCATTACAGTATTTGACTTTGACTAGACCAGATATTACTTTTGCTGTACATTTGTTCTCTCAATTTATGCATGCCCCTCGTACTTCACATATGTTGGCTGTTAAGCGTATTTTCAGGTATCTACAGGGCACCATCACACACGGCCTACTACTTCAGTCTTCTCATGGATCTCCAGCTATTATTGCTTATTCCGATGCTGATTGGGCTGGGTGTCCTGACACTGGTCGATCCACTTCTGGTTATGCCATCTTTCTAGGACCGAATCTCATCTCTTGGCGGTCCAAGGAGCAGCCAACGGTCTCCCGTTCTTCTACAGAGGCTGAATATCGTGCCGTGGCTTTTACTGTGCAGGATACTATACACATTCGCTCTGTTCTGTTTGAGCCTGGGTTTCCTGTTCGTATGCCTACTACCTTGTTTTGTGACAATGTTTCAGCCTCATATCTTTCTGTTAATCCTATTCAGCATGCCCGGAGTAAACATATTAACATTGACTATCACTTTGTTCGTGAACGGGTGGCTCATGGAGATCTTTGTGTCAAGTATGTTCCTACACAGGCCCAGTTGGCAGATATTTTTACAAAGTGTTTGTCCCCACAACGTTTTACTCTTCTTCGTGACAATCTGCGCATTGTTTCCCCTGCATAGCTTGAGGGGGTGTAATAGAGTAGATTAGTTATTTATATATTATTCATAATTGAGGGACTCCTTTTGTAATTGTTACTCTTATTTCCTATATATATATATATATATCTGTCAGGGCTACCATTATGGTTAAGCCTGTTATTATCTTTCACAGTGAGAGGGTATTCGGCTGCAACATGTTTTTCATTAATTTCTGGCCCTATAGTTCTTCGAACTAACTTAAGAAGTGCAATTCACCCCGACTCTGTCCGGCCGTCGTCATTAGGGGCGGTTCTCGGTGGATTTTTTTGAGCATCTTTTTCATTAAGTCTAGTTTACTCATACCAAATTTTAGATAAAAAATTAACCGGGAAGATAGTCAAATAATTTTCTGAAATATACTGCGTTGTTTAACTACACAATTATCTTCAAAAATTCATTTGACTGCCTTCCCGATTGAATTTTTATCTGAAATTTGGTATGAGTAAACTAAACCTAATGAAAAAGATGCTCAAAAAATTTCATCAAAACACTCCATCGGGAACCGCCCCAAATGGCGACAGTCGGACAGGGCCTTAATTTCTCTATTTCTTACTACTCTAATTTTGAGAAATTATATTCACTTATTACTGTATGTACTTTCAGGGAGGCTAACAACATGTTTGAAATGAGTGTTGAAAGGTGTTAGTAATAGAAATGTTGAAGAGTATTGGTCTTATTCGAGACAAAAAGTTATAGAATTGGAGTGCTAGTAAGTGTTTAAAAGTGTTAGGGGAGATCTCCCTGACACCTCAATAAGTAATTTTTTTAACACCTCAACTGGTGAAGTAAGTGCAGCGTTTTGGAGTGTTGGACAAATCTTGCCTATTTCATATTTCCGTTCTGCATCTATCCACGTCTTCCGTTCTTCACCCATTGAGATCGTCTTTTAACCTCAACTGTGTTGCTGAGAGATTCATCAAAGCAGCTGGAATGGGTGCCGTTTAAGCTATAGCTCGAGAGACTTACTTCACAACCTTGATGGTGTAAGTCAAGATACGTCCGCTACCCCTCCGGAGATTAGGGTTCGAGTAAAGGGTCAGTTTGGTCCTCGAAGTTGCATAAAAGGGGTCAAATAAGTCATTATATAGGAGGTTCTATCCGGTCATCGCCATTTGTGGTGGTTCACGGTGGAATTCTTTGATGAAATTTTTTGAGCATCTTATTCATTATGTCTAGTTCACTCATACCAAATTTCAGATAAAAATTCAATCGGGAAGACATTCAAATAAATTCTTGAAGGTAACTGTGTAGTTAAAAGCGCAGTTATCTTTAAGAATTCATTTGAATGCCTTCTCGATAGAATTTTTATCTGAAATTTGGTATGAGTGAACTAGACTTAATGAATAAGATGCTCAAAACATTTTATCAAAAAATTCCACCGGGAACCGCCTCAAATGGCACGTCCGGACGGAGTCTTCTATATAAGGACTTATTTGACCCCTTTTTTGCAACTTCGAGGACCAAACTGACTCTTTACTCATTAGGGTTCCAAGAAGCATCATTCGTTTAATTTACAGGCCATAGAGAGGATAACAACAAAAACTCATTTAAAGCCTTGATACCAAGCACATGGAAAGAATCTATATATGCAATGGGGATTTGCTGCAGAAATGTATTGTCCCAAATTGTTTGGCAGAGTCGACAATTTTCGGTCAACCAATGTTGAAATTAAATCATCGATATTGATAATTATTTCAATTTGATAATTAAAATTCACATATTTAAAAATTACATTAGAATCTCTATAAAGTTTGAAAATCCAAATTATAATTTAATTAAAAATTGATATCTTAATTAAGTGGAAAAAATGAGTACGTTTGACCACGACAAAGACTCAATTTTGCAATTCAATTCAGGACGGAGGAAGTATTCCCTATATATGTTCGGGCAAAGGGGAGGTTTGAGGAACACATGATTGAAGAAACGCCGTGGTGGCTGGAGCCATAACCAGAGTGGCACTACAGGCTCTCACAACAAAGGATCATTCTCACGAGCAAGTGATCGAGGAAAAATGGCTCAAAAATATATGATAGATTGTATATTGCAACTTCATTCTTCGAATTTATATTTCTTTCAAGATTTAGATGAAGGCATTATTGTCAATTTAAGATAAAACACTTGCATTATTAATTCTTCATTTCTTAAGCTCTCCCAAAAATGACAATTTTATGTTTTACACTCAAACTTTAATTTGTTTTTCTTCTGGACCTCGCCAATACTTAATAAGACGTGCATTATTATTAACAACGTAACTTTCAATGCCCTCCATCCAAATAGGCGGTAGGCCAGGAGTATATATATATATAACAGATTAAAGTAAGTAATTAAGATGAGTACTTGGATCCGAGTAATTAGCTAGAGTCCGAGTATATCATGCGGCAGGAGCATGACATCTTCAATGCCGCAACGCCGCCCGTTTTCCCAGCATCCACCGGCCTTGTTCTTGCCTCTCCGCTTACCCTTCTCTATATGTTCATGGATCCGGTCAGCACTTTCTTCTCTTTTTGTTTTTTAACCGTACGTGCCCATCTATTTAAGTCCGCTCTACTCTCATTCAATGTTCAATGTAAAAATATTACTACGTACTACATATCAAATACTCCCTAAGGATAACACAATTAAGATTATGTATAAACATGTACACATTTTATCATAATCTAAAACTAGTAGCTTTCTTCATAAAAAAATGCTATTTTTTACTACATAAAAAAATGCTTCTTCATAATTTTATACAGCGGTTACTTCCTTCACTTGAACCCATAATTGTAAGGAAATTTAATTATAAATCACTTTGTAATTATAGGTTCAAGTGAAGGAAGTGACCTTTATATAGTATTAAGCGTGTGTAACACACGACACAAGATAAAGTTTGTCAAGTGGATTTATAAAAGTCGCGCACACAAACCAAAATGAACCAAGTTATAACAATAATATGGTTCCAATCCATGTTGCAGATAAAAGTGTGGAAATCCACGGAAAATGTGAAACGGGAAAAAGCGTATTTTAGTAGAAAAATAATTCACTTCAACAAAGTTAAGCTTTTGAAGCATAAGCAAAATGTTGCAATAGGTGTCAAAAATGTCACAATAAATCAAATATAGCATTTTTAGCATAGTGCATAAGTGCATTCGATTGGTGGTGTTGCAAATTGATTTTTTGGTCACACAATTTCCACTTTAAATAGATTATAATATTGTTCCTATATATGTAAACTTAATTATTAAAAATTGAATTAATTATCAAAGGATGATTTAACTTTAACATTAGTTGACCAAAAAATGTTAACTTTGGAAAACAATTTGAGATTGGGAGAATATCATTTTATTGTAACATTTCTTGGTACCATAATGTGAGAATAAATATTTTATTGTAGCAATTTTTACGTGTTACGAAATGAAGGCTAATAGACATTTTTTTATACTAGTGACTATTTGGAGAGTTTATGAAATGGAAATTAACGTGTTATTATTGCCTATTTAACAGTTCCGTGCTTCGGCTCCAATTAAATTCTAAAATTGCTGCCCTGCCATGACATGGCAATTTGAAATTCTGAAATTCTCAGATTGCATAATACTCCAACAAACATAAATGTACTTCGTAATATTAAGATAGAAGAAAAATAACATAAACTACGAAGTAGTTCATTTGTTCATTTTAGTTGTGACAATTTGAGTTTTGAGATTTACAAGTTGCAACTTAATACTTCGTATATTATTATATGTAATTGCTCCGTATCTGTTGGTAAAAGTAATAAAAACACATATACGCCGAGATGATCAAGTTTAAAAGCGTTTTGTGTTATAAAATTTGCATGTATATTTTGATAGAAAACATGCCCAAAGTTAAATACTTCCCCAGATTCAATTCTTTATAGTTACAACTACTTACAACACTCCAATTTTAGTATTTGTTAACATACAATTTTGACCATCAATATATTTAATTTTCTCTTATTAAAAAGAAATTATAAAATTAGATTTTGAAAATTTGTAATGAGACCAACTTGATGATATTTAAAAATCGCATACATTAATAAATAAAATGTAGTCAAAATAGAGTATGTAAATAGCGCGAAATTCAATATGTTGCTATTAAAAAGGAAAGAAGATAATATGCGAATAATGTAAAAATCAGATTCTTAAGATTATGACAGGATTGAGGAGTATATAAATAAGAATGTATTTCGAGATTAATGATTAATCAAATACACAAATAATATACTCCGTAGATGCACATAAATTAAAATCTGCAGTGTATGTAATAACGTAAAAAAATACTGGGAATGATATATATGGAGTATATACTATCTTCATCCCCTAAGATTGGGGCAAGAGGCCGGGTGTGTTGAGGTTTTTAAGAAAAGTAGCATTGTGTGATTAATATTGAGTTGATAAAGTTAAGTAAGAATGAAATGTAACCATCCAAATATTATCAAATATATTGTATGCAACAAACTTAGCTAGAGTGTGATGGACGGGTATGTGTGCATGCAGGAACAGTGGTCAAGTGTGTTCTCCAATATTGTTTCAACAGCAACCACTCTCGAAGTTCTGTTCCCCTGGGAGAAGGAAAAACCTAATAATGGAGCTCTCCAAGTGGTAAGTACCTACTATATATACGTAATTGTGAAACACAACAGAAATAAAATATCCCGGCCATCCTTAATTACATTTATTGAGAGTATCTCACCTACAATACATTTGATTTGATTTATTTGTACATGTACATTTTATTATTTCACCACGTGTTTATGTTTAAGGTATAAACAAACTCTAATTAACATTTCAATTGATCAACAAGTATAAGGTAGGTGTTAACATATAGGTGTTACCACGCATATATACAGATTATTATTACATTTTTTTTACATACAATGACTAATTTGTTCTTAACTTGTGTCGTTTTTCGATGCCATGCATGCAATTAACCGACCTATGTAATGAAGATGACTGCGGAGTTTTATCTTCCTTCACCACTGTTTAGGGGTGGAGAGGTCAAATTTGCAAGAATGTGCAGAGAAACAGGCTATAAGACTTGGGTGGTAGTTGATGTTTCCCTGGAAACTGTGTTTCCCGGCGCCGGCGCCGCAATATCATCTCACCCTACAAGAAGAAGACCCTCTGGCTGTTTAATCCAAGAACTTCGAATTCACCCCGGAGTGTCTATGGTATAGCATGCATACACTTGATTAGCCCCAGCCCCAAATATTAATTAAATATTATAGACCTAGTATTTATTTTATACGTACTCCATAATACCGGAGCTAGTATATAATAATATAGGTGTGATCGAGAAAAATACTTCAACATTATCCAAATAAATAGTGAGTGCTACGTACATATCCAAGTCCGGGGGCAAGCCGACATCTAATATAATTAGGTGATTAGGTCTCACACATTTACATAATAAGTTTTCTTTCTTGTAAATGAACAAACCTTTTCATTCACATGTAGGTGACTTGGGTAGACAACAGTGCGGTACATGATCATGGTACTTTTGTTCAAAACATGTTCGGAAGCTTACTCACTTCCAATTTTCCGTTTAGCGCAAACCGATGGATATCTGCATTGGAGAGGTATTATGACAAGATCGTGGCTTTGGAGGGGCAAGGAGATAATAATAATTATAATGGCTACCATTTTCAAGCTTTAGTCTTTTCCACCTTCGCCTAATGGTGAGATCAAGCTTTAGTCTTTTCCAGTTTTAGTTAAGCTCAAATCTTAAATAGTACACAAAATATCTTAACTAAACGCAAAATGCACAAATAGAACCATCATTGTTTTCTTAATCAAAATTGAAGCTTGACCAACACCCCAGCTTGAGGCTGCTAGCTAGTTGCATGTTTGATTTGGGAACAACAGACCAAGTTTTAATTTGAGAACTAGCAAAAGTGAGGGTTCTCATTTTTATTACAAACGTTAGAAACACGAGTAATTTAAACATATGGGGCATGGGCGGTAAGCGACACTTATGATCCCGAAAATCTGTAGTAGTACGTACATGCTATCGTTCGTTCTTTAATAGTTGCAACTGTTTGATTTTCACATTTGACAACACACAATTTTGACTGTAATTTAATATTTAATTACATATTAGCAAACATTATAATTTAAAAAGTTAACATTTTGAAAATTCAAATTATTAGATATTTAATAACATTTTGTACATAATAATTTGATTATATATATTAGTATATGATTGCAGTCAAAGTAAGGTGTGTGAATAGTACAAAAAACCAATGTTACAACTATTAAGGAACAAAGAAAATATGTATTAGACTAATGCCCCCGCTTATGATCCGGTTAAGTAGTATTAATTCCCAAATGAATGTTTAGAGTAAGGTGTTGTAGAAGCAGCTATGAAAAAATATTATTGTGCTGAAGTAAATCCTCTCTTGAGGTGTGTCATCCTCACGTCGAACTGGAGTAAGTTCGGTGATCTTGCTACTTCTCATGTTTTGCTTCTCCGAGTTTTTAATGTCTTCAATTGTTTGGTCTTCGAAAAAGACGACATCTCTGCTACGGACAACCTTCTTATTGATTCGATCCGATAGCCGGTAGCTGAATTCGTCCTTGGGTGAGCGAAGGTCTTCATCTTCGCGTCAAGCTTTGCTCGCTCGTCTTTAGGGATGCGAACAAATTCTCTGCACCCGAACAACTTGAAATGATTATATGAAGCCCTTTTGCCCCGATCCAACCTGACCCGACCCGACTCAAAATGTTGGGGCCGCCACTGCTATATGATTAGTTGAAATTTATATAATCTTTTTGAATTTTATTGAAAACACAACGCATATTGCTACGAAACTGCCACAACATATATTTGAATCTACATGTTTTGCACACAGTTAGAAAAGTGTATTCCAGTAGCCTCATAATGCATTAATTTGGATAAAAGCGAGTGTCATCACTTTAAGCACCGTTCTCATTGGAACCAAACTCATGTATCATACCATCCTCCGTTCTTTAATTATTGCAACAGTTTGACTTTCACGTTTGACGACGCACAACTTTGACTATAATTATATTTAATTATGTATAAGTAAACATTATAAAGAGCTGATATTTTGGAAATTCACATTGATAGGAATTCAATAACATTTTATACGTAATCATTTGATTATGTATATTAGTAGAAAATCGTGGTCAAAGTAAAGTCTGTGAATAGTGCAAAAATCACAATGTTGCAAGAATTAAAGAACGGAGGAAGCAGTATATATATATATATATGGGAAAGATCAAGTACAAACTGTGCTTATTATGCAAACATTTGTATGATGCACCTAAGCGTTCTTTGCATTGCATATTGAGGTTCAAAGTAGTGCATATTATTCAGCCATAAAATAGCAGTTGCACATTAACGTTCAACGAGTTGCACCCTAAAAAAGTTGGATTTTATTACAAAAATGCCACCTTGCCTTTATATCCTTTAGATCAACTCATCGGATGACCGAGATGAGTTTGTAGTTTGTAAATTAAGCAGACTTTGTATTTGATCTCTATATATATATGGAATATATGCCTATATATAATACAGATCGGAGGAATTAATAAGTAATGTCTTTGATGTAATTAATGTGTATGTAAAGGGCTAGGCATCGGAAATAAAAACATGTTGAAGCTAGCACAGAGGATGATGATTGATGAAGCACTATGCTCGAAATGTGATGAACAACAAAGATGATCCATGGATGGTGTTACCCGCCACTTCAGGTGATATCTTAAAAACTTATAAGCACCAATGATGGTTAGGGTATTTTAGGAATTATAAAAATGTTGGTGTAACTCTAAAGCAAGATGTACTTGTACAATTTGTTTTAATCATTGTACCCTTAATCATTATCCATATTTATGCTCCTTAACTCCGTTAGAATCAAACTATTGAGTTTCCATGCAATTAACATTCTAGGTGGCCTTCGTTTTATTATTATTGTATGTACTTAATTGCTTTGATTTTCATTTATTTTTGCATTTTAAAATGATTACTTTGAATGATTTAGTATATATTCTTACAAATTTTACCCGTGAATAGTGCTCTGTTTATTCCTTCAAATTACATACGGAGTACTATATTTTGTTTTCCTAAACAGGTCTTATTAGAGGTGGGACTTTGAAACCAAGAATCGGAAAATCGAACCGTTATGGCCTGGTTCAGTTCGGTTACAACATTTATTAGTTATTTATTAATGGTTCGATTCCTATTTCTTATTAACGGTTGTTTCTCGATCCCTGAAAAAAGTATGTGCTTGAAACTTTTAAGGAACCATTATATATATATATATATATATATATATATATATAAAATTAAAAATTTACATATTACTTATTAGTATATACTACGTATATTTTAATGTATATTTACTTATTTATTTTTATATTAAGTTTGCTATTTGGAATTGGTCCTTTGGATGCTTTGCTCTTCACAAACTTTATGTCTCTACTAATTTACATTGCTGATTCAAGATCATCAGAAATGCTCAGGTCCATCCGGAGGGACGGGAGGCTCCGTCCGAACTTTACTGTTTGAGGCGGTTTCCGGTGGAATTTTTTGATGAAATGTTTTGAGCATGTTCCTCATCAAGTCTAGTATATCCATACCAAATTTCAGCTCAAAATTCGATAGGGAAGGCATTCAAATAATTTCTTGAAACTTACTGCACATTATATGTGCGCAGAATGTGCAGTATGTTTCAAGAATTGATTTGAATGCCTTGCTGATCGAATTTTGAGCTGAAATTTGGTATGGATAAACTAGACTTGATGAGGAACATGCTCAAAAAATTTCATCAAAAAATTCCACCAGGAACCACACCAAACAGTAAAGTTCGGACGGCACTTCCCGTCCCTCCGGATGGACCTGATCATTCCTCTCAAGATCATAATTATTGATTGTAGTGAATATCTTGTTTTGTTTTATGTACTAAATTGTCAGTTCGGTATGTACTTATGTTTAAAACTCAACTTTTGAGATTCGAAATGATGATAAACATATTTATGTTTATTAAAGTTTTCAACGTTGAATGACTTTATTTGGCACAAATTTACCAGTGTTTTTTAATATATTTTTTAAAAACTAGCAAGAACCAAACTATTAAAGAATGGCTCGCTTCCATGCCAGTTTCATAAATAATTTTGTGAGTTGTTTCATCTACTTTGCCTAGGAACCGAAGCGGTCCAAGGTCTAGAACTACTATATGATCTTCCTTAGCTACTAATGATCTTCCAAAACTACATTGATACATACCGTTGTTCGCCCATAAGAAACGTGTATTTGGTGCAAATGATTTGTACAAATATCACATTGGGCATTCACCCAATCGCGCAACGCGCGTAAAAAAAACTAGTCTATTTGAGAAGAGGCAACAACATCTTGGATGCAACAGGCCTTTCTCTTGGCGTTGCACTAACTATATCTACATCACTTTACTTGGCCGTTCCTCACGACCGCTTGTTTAACTTTCTAAGAAGTGGAAGTAACCGCAATCAGGTAATATCATTAGAAATTACTTCAAATAGGACTAAAACTATGGCAAAAACTCAAAATATGACTTGCTATGTTTTTTTTTCAAAATAGGACCATAGTGGTCCTATTGGAAACATACTCATTTCTTCCTTCCATTCTTACCCCTCCTTTAAATATTAGTAAAAGATAGCTAAAAGTCATAATTAAATGTTTAATTCATAATAAATTCGAAAAAATTTCAATAATTCGTAGAAAAATAATAAAAAAATTAATAAAATTTTTATAAAATAAAAAATAAGAAAATAAAATTTTAATTTTTTTTTTAAAAATTAATAAAAAAAATAGTAAAACTCCATAAAAAAATTTAAAAAATATGGATACGTTTCTCACCGCCTGTACTACCTCCCTGAACCACCACCTCCGATCGGTGTAAAAAATGCCACTTTTTTTTAAATTCCACAAAAATGACATATTTCTCTATGAGAATGCCAACATTTTCATTCTGCCAACTTGAATCCTTTTGACTTTTGCCAAAAATATGGCATTCATAATTTTTTTGGCATTTTTTTACCCCGGTGACAGGAGGTGGTGGTACCGCCTCCCTGCACCACCACCTCCGACCGTTAAAAAAATGTCATATTTCCTACAAACTTCCATTTTTTTCGGAAAATGCGAAAAATATGGCATATTTCTCTTTGAGAATGCCAACATTTTTTTCCTTCCATCTTAAATCATTCTGAATTATGCCAAAAATATGGAATTCATAATAAATTTGGCATTTTTTCCCCAAATGACTAGAGGTGGTGGTGCTGGGGCGGTATAGGCGGCGGTGACAAAAAATATATTTTTTTGATTTTTTTAATTTTTTTTTATTTTTTTTATTTTTTATTTTTTTTTAAATTTATTATTATTCAGAATATTTTTATTAATTTTTTGGTATATTTTACGAATTTTTATTATTTTTTATTATTTTATTATGAATTAAAACATTCCAATAGGTATAAGGGTATATTTGTCCAAGACAAACATAATTAGTCCTATGGAAACATAGTTTATTTTTTTGTCCTATTTGTGCAAAGTGAATGACTTTTAGTCCTATTTTGATAATTATCTCTAATATCATTCCTTCTTTTCGGTTAACATAATTAAGGCAAATTTGCTATTTTTGTTCATCGTAGTTATTGCTCCCACAATTTATGTCTTTTAAGTTTTAACTCACTAATTTATCAACTTTGAGATTTCTTCACTAACTAGTTATTGCTCATAATATGACATGGGTTTTTTCCTAAAATATTACTAAGAAAAAAGTCATGAACAAAAATGGAACTTGGTAACTTTTGGTGACTATAATTGGTTCAAAATTTCTATCGCAGTCATTACATCATAGTAACTATGGAAGCAACAATAATCACTAAAAGTTATCAAGTCGCATTTTTGTCCACTACTTTCCCAAGAGTAATATTAGTCGAATTTTTTCATATAGTATAATATACTCCGTAATATAATACTACCCCCGTCCCTTTTTATTTAGACCAACTTTGACTTTTCCAGTCAAAGATGATAAATTTTGATTCATTATTTTAATTAATATATTTATGTAAAAGTTAATAAATTTATACTTTTATGATAGTATTTTCAACAAAGAAATTTTTCATATAAATTTCATATATCGTGTATATGATAATATTACCGTGTATAAATATATAATGATAATAATCGGTCAAAGTTGAACAACTTTGACTTGGAAAATAGTGTTTGGCTAAATAAAAAGGGAAGGAGGGAGTATGATATAGTATGATATAATATGATATAATATAGTATACTATAGTATGGAAGCAAAGTACAATAATAACCTAAAAAAATATTTAGATAATCTAAAAAAATATTTAGATAATCATCATAATAGTAAAAATAATAAATTATGTATGAACCTTTCTGATTTCAATTTTTCTGATCTGATCTGATTTTTTCTGATTTAATCTGATCTAGACTGAATGTTTTGGGGTAATATGATTTGACTTTTTATCTAAACTTGTCTGAATAAAAAAAGAATAAATAATGAGTAAACAATAAGAATAAGAATAAGAGTAACATTTTTTTACGTTTTTTTGTCCTACTTTTTCTCTAGACTTTTCCATTAGCCGTTCCATCTTTGTACGAATTAATTAAATGATTTAATATGTGGAGTCTACATAATGTCAAGTGCTAGTTATTTAACGTTTTTCCTCCCTTTTCCATTATAGTTGTTCCATCTCCTTTTTGTTTGGAACTAATTAAATGTTTTCATAATAATGGCAATATATTTTTCATTAATCAATAACAGAGTGACATGTCACCAGTTTGTAACCTCACTTTACTAAATAAAACAATATATTTAAATATATAATGAAAATTGGATTCCTAATATGTGTCACGACTGCTATGTAAATGTGCACTTCCATAATGCACATTTAAACTCAAATACACTATAAATTGTATATATTATTGATTTATAACTCAATTTTTACTTGCCCAAAAAAACTCAATTTTTACAATAATTTTTGTAACAATTTGGTGTCATATGAAAGATCATAAAACTTTATGATTTTTGGTGTACTTTTTGTAAAATTTGTGTCATGTGAAAGATCATAAAAAGTTTTAAATTTTGATGTATATGTTTGTAAAAATTGGAGTACAGATAAATAAGTTATAATACATTAAAATAAGATTTTTTTCTCCTTCCCTTTCTCAGAATGAGCATTTCTGCATGTAGTGAATAACAAAGATGAATCGAGTCAAAATTATATGCATTAAATGTTTTAGTAGTAGTCATAATAGAATTTTTATTAATCAATAGAATTTTAACTCAGTTTGCCACATAAAATAATAGATATTATATATATATATATATATATATATATATATATATATATAATATTGGTGTCATATGAAAGCTCTTAAAAGTTATGAATTTTGATATATATTTTGTAAATATTAAATTATAAATATAAAAGTAATATCACTTTAAAATAGAGAGATTTTTTCTCCTACTATTGATCTAAATCTCAGCCGTAGTGCACGATTTTTAAGTGTAGTGGACATTGAATTAATTAATTGTTTTAATTGTGATAATAATAGAATTTGCATTATCCAATAAGAAGCTGACACATCATTATTTTTTAAATCATGTTTACTATATAAAACTATAGATAGTATAGTATAGTATAGTATAGTATGGTATGGTATGGTATGGTATGGTATGGTATGGTATAGTATAGTATAGTATAGTATAGTATAGTATAGTATAGTATAGTATAGTATAGTATAGTATAGTATAGTATAGTATAGTATAGTATAGTATAGTATAGTATAGTATAGTATAGTATAGTATAGTATAGTATAGTATAGTATAGTATAGTATAGTATAGTATATATCATGTATTTATCATTTGGCAGTTGGCTTAAC